CCCCCGTCTCCACACACACACCTGTCCTAAGGGGACAGAGTCATGTACTTTGGCCCAGGCCAAGCGCCAGCCAGGTCTGTGTGTGACAGACCTGAGTACATTTCTTCACTCATCTCACACAGTGCTGTATGGTCAGCATTGCTATCCCAATTCTGCAGATGATATAGAGGCCCAGAGAGGTCAGGCATGGTGCCCCAAGTTCACACAGCTCAGTCAGTTGCTCAGTTAGCCTTGACCTGAACCCACGTTTGCCTCGCTCACATCCCAATCCACTCTCAGCCATACCTGCTCTCACCTCCTATTTGTCTAGGAGCCAGTCTTTCCCCACCCCAGTCTCCATTACCTCCTCTGTGAAAGGAAGGAAGGAAGGAAACCAACACGCTGAGCAGTTTGAGGAAACTGGGGTTTTCCCACCATCACCTAGACCCTTCCTTCCTCCACCAGCCCCTCTGAGGCAGGGTCTCTGTGCTAGCACCCAAGTGAACCCATGGCCAGTTTAGTTCAGCAATCTCCTAAAGCCACAGGTGGTACCTTCTACCTACCTGAGGACCTCCAGAGCCTCCAAAAGAGCCCCCCCTCCCATAGGTCCAAGCCTCCTTGAGTAGGGGCACTGAGCACCACTAAGGTCTCTCCACCCTCTGCGCATTGTGTGTGGACCTGGAGCAGCAAATGCCATGTTCCCCCCTGCCCCCACCTCCACCCCACTCACCCCTACCCCCCACCCCACCTCCACTCCTGTCTACCCACCAGGCTGCCTTACCCATGGTCAAGAAGGTGAGAACCCACTGCAGCACTGCGAGCGTCTGCAGCCTGCGCTCCCAGGGCACCCACAAGGGCGCGAACTCCACCATGCTGGCCCCTCAGCCTCTTCTACGGCACTGCTGTGACCCCAGGCTCCCACTGGCTTTTGATGTTGCCTGGGGTTGTGTAAGCACTGGGGGAGGGAGGAGGTGCCTCACCCAGCCTGGCCCAGCCCAGCCTCAAGACCTCCCCATCCAGGGACCTGTTTCCTACAAGAAACCTTTGACTTCACCTTGGGCTGAACCAAGGAGGAAGAGAACAACCTTTATCCAGGGCAGGGGCCTCCTCTGGGAAGGCCGTCCTTATCAACCAGGCCACCTTTCTCTGATTGCACGACTCTGGCCCTTCACTTGGCAGGTAAAACTTAAAGTACAATGCAATCCTCTTCCCATTCACCCAATGACCTGACTACAATTGTTTCTCTTACTCCTGTTATTGTTACCCATAGGTCAAAGGGAAAGTGATATTAGGAAATTCTTAAGCTACAATATATTCAGTGATTTTTTCAGAAACTCAGGTAACATTCTTTTTTTTTTTTTAAAGATTTACTTATTTATGCATACAAAATTGGGCAGGCACCGTGAGCGGATTCACCAGACAGACAGGCAGAGTAGAACAGGTAGAATGACCTAGTACACTGCTGAGGGGAGCCGCGGGCGAGACAGGAGAGGTCTGCCGCGTCCTGTGGGTCACTTGTGGGGCCAGGGATTGAACTCACACTGAAGCAGCTGCGACTGGCTTGTAGTGCTGCTCTTTAACCTGCTGTGCCACCAGGGAGGGCCCAGGCAATATTCTAAAGTAAAATCAGGTTCATTAACAACCATTAGGATGTCAAAAGCCTGCCCCAGAGACCAAAACACCACCATTTTCTTATGTAACTGACTTGTGACTGCCTAGCCCAGCTCCTCAACCACACCCTAGAGTGAGTTAGTGCCTGCTGTCCTTTATCTACTATGATCTCCCAAGAAACTGGGGAGGCTGAGCTTTGAGAGCCAACTTCCGGTCTCAAGTACCAAACTCTACTTGGTCTGATCTACCAGCAGATATATACCAAGCCACCAAGTCACAAACCCCTCGAGTTCAGTAACACCATGTCCGTTGTTCTCCCTCCACAAATTTCCCATATAAAAATCTATTGGCTGGAGTCTCTCTGGTGGTATAAGGGGTTAAGTCTCAGAATGATGAAGCCAGCGGCAGCCTCTGCAGCAGTCTGGTCCCGGGCCAGGGAGCTGACCTACTGGAGACCTCTCTGGTCTCACCGTCTGCTCCCCTCAGCAGTGTATTTCTGTAGATCTGTAACAGGGTGGTCCCCAGGAAAAGGGGAAGTTTCAGATTCCCTGCCCCACCCGGAAGGAGAGTGGAACTGAGCAGAGAAAAGAGGAGTTTGGAGACGAAAGCAGGATGGAGGGCCAGAAAGTGACCACAGAGAGTCACATGGAACAGAGAGAGGCATGTGAAGAAACTGCTTTGTTTCTTGGTCCTGGACTG